CAATAATTCACTGTAACATCTTACATATAAATAATTTAGCTAGTATTAATTAATTTAATTTAATTTAATTTAAAGATTTGATATGATTAAAAGAATAATATTTTAATTATGAGAGTGGACTTTTACGAAAGTCAAATATAATGCTTTGTGTGTGTATGTGTGTGTGTGTGTGTGTGTGGGTGTGTGTGTGCGTGTGTGTGTGTCTGGTCTTGCTTTCAAATACTATGTGTGCATAACATTTTGGCGAAATATACAATGTACATATAGTAGGAATATTGACGTCATTGCTATAGTATGTATTAGTACACAGTGACATATTCGTTGAAGAAAAAACATTTTTCTCAATTGCATTAGATTACGAACATACACATAAAAGAAAATAATTTACACTGACGGATATGATATTGAAATTCCAGCCACGTTAGTTACAGAAGAGTATTTTTCTGATTCTTGTCTATTCGGTGTAGTAAATTGGAATACCCGATCCCGACATTTTCAACTCTTTTTCAACCTTGATGGGAGGCTGGTTTTGTGACATCGGTTGTAATAATAACACATGGCACTCACACAATAACATATATTTGCTAGTGATGCATGTATATACAAATATAATCCTAAAGAAGTGCTGTTTAGATAAAACGCACGTGTGAGAAGATTAACTTTAAAAGAATTCACGTTAGGCCAGACCAAACATATTACTTGTTCATCGGACTCCCGCGCATATTGCGTTATATATCATATTGCTTTAAAAATCACTCGACCGTTGGTGATGCTTAATACATCGAATAAAGAACTTACAAGATGATTATTGACGTTATAGTCTGTATATGCCTTGCATTTGAATCAGACATCTACTAACTTGTTAAACAATGCATTCAAAAAGACGATGTTCTGAAATAAATGAAGATTTCATAAAAAAATAGCAATATCTGATATTCGTAATATACAGAACAATGTTACTGTGAAACTAGGTACAGGAGTTTTGGTTTATAATGAATTTAATATGAAGTGCGTTACTTTCACTGTGTTGCAACGCGACCTACACAAATGTCAGCTCTGGCCCTGGACTTGCTGCAGTTTAGCAGCTCTTAGCTTAGCTTAGCCCCGCAATGTATACCACGACCAAGATAGCTGCATAAACTGCAGCAAACCCTGGACGTATATTTGGAATGTCAGAATAAATAATATTTGTACCCAGATAACGCCAGTAGCTAGTAGGAATGCAGTGCAATTGTAATGATTTTGCCAAAGAAAATTGAACCGCCTTATGGTGGTAAAAAATGACTTGTACTCTGTATAATGATGTCATTGATATATTTGAAAGCATGGACGCGGGTTGGACAAAAACAACATTGAAGTGGCAAACAGTTGCTACATTTCGTGATTGCCTGTGGTATATAGATAGTCACTATGAAAAGTTTCAGTACCGCTCTTATGCTATTCCTGTTGCATTCAGCCGATTTTATGGATACAATCAGTGGAAAATTCAAAGGCATAAAAAGCTTCTATTTTTGCATAATGTTTAGAACGAATTAGCCAAGACAAAGTATTGGATACTCCATCAAATTATTCATCTAGAAATAAGAAACTAATATTGGCTATTGAACAGTTGCTTAACTCAATACAAGGAGTATAATAAAATACAACCTGTTTAATAACTACATAAAAACCTTTAAAAACAGTTTAGCGTAGATAGACCATTGTGCAACAGATGCCACAACAATGGATGTAAAGACATGGGGTTAGAGTTTCATGAAAAACAGATATTAAAAATCATCCGCTTGTTGTCAACACACTAAGTTATGAGGCTGTGTACTAAATGTACCTATATATACTCAAATATTTAGTTTTCAAATAAATACATAAAAACTGTGGTGTTTTTTATTTAAATATGCACTTCATATACAACACACACAAGTTTCTGCTTCGCTTTCAACTTGTAGGCAAAACAAACAAAACAATTCGCTCGCCGCTCCAAGGTTTTTACAAGAAAAATTCAATGAACAAGAATTTGTTTTGGTCTGGCCTTATTATTGTATGTATAAAAATAATGGATTAAAGAATCCAAATATTTTTGGGCTACTAATTTTTTTATTTTCACCCGCATGTATTCTCATCAATAACAAATCGGTATTACCATAAACAGGTCAGTAACATTGGAGACGGGTGGGGTGAGGGGGGTGTCCGTCAAATATTCAAATACCGAACTAATACTAACATATAATACGATACCATTGTCCATATTTAGACACTGTATTCCGTCATCGATGTTGCTGGGTGTGTGAGGAGAAAATATAAGCCTACTAATACAAACAAACTTCACATTAACCATGTTTCAATTTCATTTGTTTATGATCGACTTGCTTTATTGTCTGCGTGTTTCAGCATAATGCGTTCCGCGTGTGTATGTTCCAGGGCTACCCCATTTTACGCTGCAAAACAGTCTGGTTTGGGGAGTAAAACATGATAAAATGAATGATATCACAGATAAAACACACAACACATGCTGATGGTATATCTCGATAACATTAATAAACTCCTCACAGTGCCAAATTTGATTCAGAATCGATTCTGCAAATTAAATCTCTTGCATAAAATTGACTTGTTAACGGCAGGGCCGAGGAGTCACGAAAGTACATGCACGTGTGCACCATGGACGCCGATTAAATTGAAAGTCTGATTGAGTCTGATTGACATATCAGAACCACAGATGTTACATTTCCACCCATTGTTGACCAGGATATATAACACTCCACTGTTCTAAAGTCAAGGTGTCCTGCTCACAGACGTTTGCTACTGTGTACTAACAAGATGTCGTTTCACTGGAGTTTGTTTTTCCTGATCGTTGCTGTACTAACTGTAGTTGCTACAGTTCCAGCAAAGGTAAGTATTGTTTGACAAAATCTCATGTATGATACAAGAACTTATCCCACGTTTCTAGTATTGACAAATGTGTTATTGTATATATTTCGATCACAAGATTTGTGAGAGATTTCATTTAATATATAACAGTAGTGTATCGCCAAGATATGTACACGCATACAATTTAAATGTCAGAAGGATTTCCAATTCAAATACTTGTCCACAGTACGTGTCTACATGTGTCTTGTACAAAAAAGTCACTGAACGTATGAAACAAAATCAACCGCTTGAAAAATTATGTGTTCGACCAAATGTGGTATGCAACCCATTTAATAACATCATTTTTTGGGGGGAAGAACCGTAAAAATTATTTTGAAATGAACATTTTGATACCAAAATTACGACTTCAACTTTTCATTCATGTGTCATTTTCTAAAGTATTATATTCCACCGTTGCATTACTTTAAATTCACAGGCATCGCCGTCAACTGAACTTGCTGAACGAGATTCCCGCTCACTGGGGAAACGTTTTCCTGGTTAGTTACCATTCGTTTAAAATTTAATACTACAAGCCGGGTACTAGTTTTGAATTAGATCATCTTATTTGCATAGCGTCATTATACTGTGAAAATAGAGAATATTAAATTTAGTTTAGACTGTCACTTAATGGTACATGGTTGTGGTTAAATTTGTAACATTATTACACAAATGATTTCAAGTGGCGACAATGTTAATATATCGATTGTGAGTGAGAATGATATACATCAAGTGGCACATATCGAGGAGGATGTGCTCTTCTCGAATCACCTAACATCACTTCATGTATACCTAGTGACACATGTATTTTTCTTCTACTGATTTGATTGTTCTTCAGTCATTTGTTTATAGATTTACATTCCCGTTTAGGCTACGTATTCGGATATATATTTAATATGTTGCTATTCTCACTTTACATTATATTACAGGTTGGCAAATTAAAACTTTACATAAATGGCTTGATTGCTATTTGAAGATAGTTGTCAGGGTGACAATTGAGATTTTATCCGACAATGGAAGTATACTTTATCACCAACAGTGGATTGTCCCTTATTACATATATGCAGATCTGAATCCAGATCACATCCTGTCTGCAGGAACTATAACAGTGCCCGAAAATGCAGTAGGTGATTTTTCTACTGATGTTGAATTGGATGGAACTACTTTCACTGAATTTGCCGCCAGATTTGAAAACCCAGTCACTCATGAGTGGATAAACGAAACCTTTGGACATTGTGAGTATAGACGCCATGAACTCATCACCTGCTTATCATAGATATGTGTATAATTAAATATTATTATTATCACGTAACATCACATAATTTACACATATTACTAAGTTAAAGTGTCACGGCGTTCTTGGATGACAACAAGCACATATTAGTGTACAGTTATGTATCCAGAATACACAGTGCAAGATATTCACAGAGAAATATACAGTACAATTATTATTATTTCGATTGAGGCAGTATTATATGGATAAGCTCAGAACAGAAAACACTTGTAACTACCTTGAATTAATACAATCTTCACTAAATCTGACATTATAGAGAGTATGCCTTGTTCATTTACATTTGATTTGTGATTATCTTTAATAGTTAATAATTATATTACTACTAATTTTAAATATGGCTACTGATGCAATTCATATCATTATTTGCTATAATTTTACAGATTTATCCAACTATGCATTGATGTTCTTTTGTATAATGCTATTTTAGATTCATTCCTGCATTCACAAACTGTTAATTTACTGCCTTAGCCAACTATATTTTGATGTATCTTTGTATAACTCACGCTATAATTTTACACCCTGTTAAAATGTTTATCGACTATTTCAATAATTTAATTTTCAATTGATGGATTTATTGACTGACCTAATAAATAAATCATTAATTCACATTCATTGTCATCAAACCAAATTTAAATTCGAACTCTTCTTTCTCTAATGCTTGAAAAAAATTCACCACAAAATTAACTTGTTGTTAACTAAAAACATCAAGTCGCTCATCTGGTAGGTATTGGATTATCATATCCAGAGTAATCTTTTAATAATATGGTTTTAAACACATTTATGATTATTCATCTAATTACAGGTGGTATCGTTAGGGGTGACCCACATCTGAACACATTTGATGGATACAAATACAACTTTAATGGATTCTGTTCTTATGTACTAACGAAATCATGTGATACAACCATCCCAAAATTCCAAATCAACGCTGATTTCCGGAGTACAAATCCTAATACTCCTTACGAACCTCCAACCAGAATGGTGGCATTTGACGTGTACAATTATGGAAAATTGGTTGTTCGCATTAATCACGATAACTCAATTTTGGTGAGTTGGCAACTTAAATCGATAGAATTTAGGATTTTTTTTTTAAATATCAGATCTTAAAATAATATGGTACTGAAACTAATAATGAACATTTGTTAACACAGAATTTTAAAGCTTGCTATATTTTTCTAGTAACTGCTCCAATGTTTATTGTGTTGTCTGGCAACTTTTACAATTATGTGAGATGCAATATTGTCAATTATTTTGGTTCTTTTATGAGTATTTGTGACATTTGCGTTAGTTTAAAGTTTTTGGCTTCGGTTATTGTAGCATATTTGATAATACTACACCCATCTAAAGCTAATGCTCATGTATTTGAATGTAGGTAAATGGGAGGCGTATGGTTGGTAATTACTATCACTAAAGTAAAGATAATTATTGGTGAATATTCATTGCTTGGCCGATGACTTTTACTTTTTACAATGCATAGTTATTTCGCTAATGCTAGAACTAATGTTCATCATATTTGAATGTAGATAAATGGAAAGCGTATGGTTGGTAATTACACTGTTATAGGTAATACGCAAGGAACAGTGACACATACCGGACCTAAGATATCAGTGGAATTGACCCGGCCGGCTGTATCCTTGAATTGGGACAGAAATCTGCATGGCATAACAATTGAGTTTGAAGATGATGAGTTGTATGGAAAGGTGTGTGGGCTACTTGGCGATGCTGATGGAGACCCAAACAACGACTTTGTGATGTCTGATGGGACACGTACATTGGATTCCAATGAATTTGGAAATAGCTGGATGGTTCCTGGCAGGTAAGCAAATTATTAGCATTAATACTTGCCACAAACAACAGAACCACATGAAATGTGGTATAACTCTGAGTTGGCGATGAAAGCACAGTAACGTTCTATTCTTCAGTCTGTCAATAGATCATTATGCATATAGTGTTTCTGAACTCAATCAGCTTAGTAACCAGAATACTTGAAACCATCGACTGATTATGTAAAAATGCTGCAATGCATTTTGATCACAAAGTAAGGAACAAGGCAATGCAATTGCAACTAATATACCTTGATTCAGGCGTTGAGTTCAACAATAATTACAATTTATGTTTTAAATAAATGTTATTTATTGAAACTCTGCAATCTGTGACAATGGTTGTTCCAAAGTTAGCTTTCTCATGTGATTTAATTACGAGTTAATATCAATTAAACTATTTATATTCATCTTTCAGTTGTCCCATATAACTAACAAATTGAGGAGTTTATCAGCGATACTGAACAAGACTGACGACTGGAGAACTCGATGAGAAAAAGTAGAATTATATTTATCTGTTCGTATTAGTCAGGCATGTTTTAAAACTATACAATCTGCATATTTTGTTTTTGTAGTTGCAATAGTATGTAGTATGTTTATAAACATACGCTCGACCCTTTCCCCATAGCTGAAATAAAATTGATATACACGCAGTAAAATAGTACTGTGTTATACATTTAGTTACTGGACAAGACTGAAAACTTAAGAACTCGAAAACAAAAATAGAATTATATTTATCTGTTCATATTAGTCATGCATGTTATAAAACTATACAATCTGCGGCCTTTTTTGGAAGTTTCAATAAACACTATCCCCATAGTTAAAATAAAATTGATATACATGCAGAAAAGGAGTCCTGTGTCTTATATTCAGGGATAATGCTAGATCAGGGTCTGCAACGAATATCGTCGCAGTAATGGAAGAAACACCAAATATTCACTAATGCTAGCTAAATGACGAAGTGAACAGCTGCATACTGCAAAAACAAGTTCATTCGGGGTCGTACTATACTGTGCCAGTTTCAAACAGTTCAACAGTTATACTCTAGAAGAAAATAACCAATATTTGAACCTGGAGATTGTCTGAAGGGAGACAATTTACCATTATTTTGCAAGATTATTGATTTTGGTTGCCGTTATCGATGTTTTCAAAAACTTACACAAATGCTTACTACTCTATAATAAACAACGGTTATGGTTAAAATGTTATATAACGTACTAATATTAAATCGAGTGGGTGGCTGAACACTCTACATTACAGAAAATCAAATACATTATTGTTGAAAATGACACATAAATTCACGTTTGAAATTAGCTGCAACTATTAAAACTTTTAAGTCGAACACAACTTAGTAGGTATTTTGAGTACAGTCAAAAGAGTTTGGTACTCTCTGTATAGCAATGAAAAAGCATGTGAACAGGTTTGTCAAGTAGAAGAAAACAATTACGTTATTCAGTTTTCAGTAGCTTGCTGTCCTACGTATGCCAATGAATCCCTAGGTCATGCATCTGATATTGTGTGACCCTCATCGCCTGTCTCTTTTTTGAGAAGTAGGTGTTAGTTGTTGTGTTGTCACATTTCAGAAGACTGCACTGCCTTGCATTGAGGCTTAACTGCTTATGAAGTCGAGTAAAATCACCCTATGTTTCACGATACTTTTATACGAGCTCAACGTATAATGTTAAGAAATAGTGTACAAAGTTGTGAAAAGCGATTGAAAAGTTGTTGATTTGATTGGGAATATTAAGTGGTTGGCGTAAACAACCCTGTAGTTAAAAGTTGGAAAAATAAATCAAAATGCGAATGAAATACCGGTATGTATTACCAGACTGTATTACGAGCTTTAGGTATGATAATGAGAAAAAGTTTCTAAAGTTGTGAAAAGCGATCGAAAAGTATGAAAAATACTTAAAAAGTCAAATCCCTCTATATGCAAAAAGTCATCAGAACTGGACAGATAATGTTACGAAATAGCTTACAAAGTTGTAAAAAGCGATTGAAAATTTGGTAGACTTGATGTTACATTTGGTAGTTGTCTTTACGAAACCCATAGTGGAAAATTCGAAAAGGCGTTGAAAAGCCTGGTAAACGACCCTCAAATGGTCCAATTATCGTCCGAAGCATGTAGAGGTCATAGGCCAGAAACATACAAGTGCAATCGATATCAATTTTGGAACATATTATAAAAGTGAGTGGACATTAAAATTCATCACACGCATATATCAGAGTGGTCACGGTATCGACAAATACAAAATACATTGGCCGTGCAAGTACTTGCATTGGAGACCACCTTAGCAAATCAACTAGCGAACCTACTATTTTAAAAATGTTGTCACACACATTGTAATTACATATTTCAATTTAATGCGTGCTCTATGTGATTATCATGATGGACAATTTTGTTGCAAATCGTAAAAATTTACTTTAATGTTTAAAGAAAATTTACAATTTCCTTGTCCATTCAGGAAAATAGTGGTGCTGATTGTAGTCGACGAACAAGATTCAAATTCGTAAATTAACTGGCATATTCTACAAGATAACTCATGTCATTCAAAAATCAATTAAAGTTATTCTGTACAGTGCTTTTGCTTTTCCACTTATCTCATATGGACGTGTGCAGTAATTTTACTTATACAAAAGTGCATACAGTGTACTATTACGTTATCATATTGTCATGAATTAGTTTTAGCGACTTGTTTAGCTGATTACTAGTGAATGGCTATGTTAGATCTGTCATCGTTTAGGCTCATGCGAGGTCCTGGACATAACTTGACTCAGTGATTTGGAACTAATTACGATATGACCATTGCCATCCGGACCGCTGTTTCTGACAGTTGGGTATTTGCAGTTAGTAATATAGTGAACGATTAATCAAAAGTTATGACGTGTCCAGTACTTAGTGTGATTTGCTGTATGATTGAAGACCACGCCTTATAGACTTTAAACTTCTTTGTAATTGGGTTAAGGTTTTGAAAGTGACTAAAGACGAAAGTTGATACGTATTTCGTTGTGCGCGTTTATTTGACGGTAAAGCATAAGTGACTTTACTGGTCCGGTACCTCAAGCAGACGAGATATAGAGACCAGACGACGAATTTCCCCCTGACACGTATTGGAGAACCCCAGAGGAGAAGATTTTCCCCGTGATAATATTATAATAACCGCTTGGCTTCTCTGATTAAAAAGATTGGGAAATCTGTGCATTTTAAACAACACTTTCTTCAGTCCATGATATTTGTCAACAAATAGAGCATACAACACTAAATAAAACACAAATATATTAGTATATTAGTAGTTTTCAAATCACCATTTTCGCCCCCATTTTCACATCCATCATTTAACCACACTGTCATGTTAATTTATTATGTGAAATGTCAGTGAAAAAGTTGAAAATGAAATTTGGTAATTATTATGTACAGTTTTTAACCCAATCTTATGCAGATCTGGCCTTTTGCAATGAGCATTTATCCACCAAGTTGGAAATGTGAATAGTCCTCGAGATTTCGATAAAAAGGGTATCAGATCAGATCTATGAACTGTCAAAGGGCATATATGTATGTTTCATTGAACTACAACAGAAGATCTTGCTTGAATGAGCAAGCGAGCACAAACACATCAAACTCATCCCCAAATACTTCCATTGTGTGCTATTCACACTGAAGCCAAAAATCAAAAAGACCTTGTTTATGACAAGAACATTCAATGCTATTGGCGACAGCGACAGCAACAAATATATACGTTGCCTTCATTTTTTGTTACAGACAAGGTGCATCTCATTCAGAAATGCTTGACAGGACACAGTGGTAACGCTACCAAACTGTCTTTGTATGATAATGACTGATCATGCCAGCTTTCTTTTAGATTAAACCCGGCTTTTTACACAGCTGTGTTTCAACCAGAGTAAACAATTACGGATGCCATGCCCACACCAGGGGGGTTCAACAAACGTCAGTTGAATTCTGTGATCATAACAACAAATATCCATTTGTGTACGTGATGGTATTAGTCTTGTAAATCACTTGAGATATACTATTAGTCCTCGCTGTACTAAGGCCGGGGAAAACGACGATACGCGATTCAGTCTAGTATTTCGAAACTTCGCATGAAATGTTCAGCTGGTGGATCAGGTGTAAACAGAGTTTACTTGTAAACAGTGAGTAAATTGCCTCATCATGATCAACAGAAGAGCTTGACCTTTAGTTTTTGGAATGCTAGGTCTGTTAACAATAAATTGTCTGTATTGTGCTCAGTTATAGCGGAAAAAAGACAGATGTCTTTGTCCCCCCGGAATCGTGGTTAAGTAATTCGCGAAAGCAGCAGTTAATTTTAAATGAATTTCCGTCATTATAATATACATAGTTGTCCGCACAAATCGGCGGTCAGCCAAAATGTAAGCGCCGAGATGAACAATAAAGATAGTTTTTCACCATTTGAATTAATGGAGTTATCCATTCGTATAGAACGGAACATGGTTCACATGTTTGTTGTTTATCGCTCTCCACCATCACAAATGAATGAATCGTCTTTACTCGAATGTGTTGTTATTTCACCTGACCGATTGATTATTTTGGATGATTTCAATTTTCATTTAGAAAATGAAATTGATCGCGATGTTGTTAAGCTCAACGAAACTTTGGTATCTATGGATTTAATACAGCATGTCCGGGCTCTCACACATGACAAAGGGCATACACTCGATATTGTCATCACGCGATCATCAGAACCATGGGTTTATGGGCTCAGATCATTGTTTGATTAAAATCATCTCGAATCTACCTCGTCATTGTTCCTGCAAGATCAAACGTGCGAGTCGAGTTTTACTTCTTTTAATAATGTGAACGTAAATGAACTCATGAATGATTAAATGACACCATGACACAAGTATTAAATACTTTTACTTCAGAAAAATGTAGTCTTTGTTGATAAATATCACGCACGATGGTTCGGCGATGAAGTTCGAGAACATCAGAAGGAGGTCAGAAGGCTGGAACAGCAGTGGGAAACAAGTTCTCTTGAAATAAATAGACTGATGTCTGTGAAAAACGAGCTGAGCACAAGCGACTAATAACATTAGAGCATCAAATCTTCGAAGTAAAGTTGAGAACTCTGTCCAACGAAATCTGTGTTCAGTGATTGATAATACGATCGATGAAAAGAGGGCTACCGCCCAAATACTACCGCAACATGACCCGGAAGTTTTAGCGAAATTTTTTACGGCCTTTGTCTGTGCCAAAGTTCCTAAACTACGTAAAATTTTGGATTTAACAACTAGCCATTGTGAATTTATTAATAATGGTTATTCGTTTTTTTTATTCCTGTTGATAGGGATTATCTATCCAAAATGATTTTATCCATGAATTCCAGGTAGACTAGATCTAATTCCGACTTCACTTGTGACAATGGGTTTTCCACAAATCTTCCATTATTAATACGTCATAAAGTTCTGGTATTTTTCCAGATTGTCTTAAACATACGATTGTTTTGCCTCTTTCAAAGAAATCTGAGCTCGACGTTGATGTGCTAACAGATTACGCCCTGTTTCCAATCTGCCCTTCCTTGGCAAAGTTAATGAGAAAATTATTGTAGAACAAATCAATGGTCATTTGTCAAATTATTCACTTTACTCAAAATTGCAAATTGTATTGATGGTGTAACATCGGAACAACGTGATCTGTTGTATGGTGTGCCACAGTGAATTGTGCTCCCTTGAAAGATATCATGAGGAAACATTTGTTGAATTTCATGATGTACGCAGATGATCAACAATTATATATCACGTGTAAAAACGAGGAAATGTCTCGACCTATGATTGAGGGAATTCGGAAATGGGTGTTGTCAAACAGGTTGGTTTTGAATGACAGTAAAACTGAAGTGATACACTTGTACTGAAAATATGGTAAACATAAGCGTTTATCATTCCTTTGCATCGGTTCTGATGAAATCAATTCTTCTGATCTAGGAATCTAGGGTTTTACATTGATAGTTTTGCTTTATCGCATAAACAAATTTCAAATGTGTGTAAATCAGCCTCTTGTACATTAAGTCATATTGGCTGTATTAGAAATGATTTAAATTGTAGTAGTACTGAGCACAGTTAATTCAAGCTTTCAAAATCTCTAGATTGGATTATTGTAATAGTCTATATAACCATCGTCCTGACTATCTTATTGCCCACCTTCAACGTATTCAAAATTCCGTAGCTCGATTTGTTATCCTTTCAAGTAAACATGAGCACATAACTCCTGTTCAAAATCTTCACTGGTTACCCGTTTCCCAACACATGGTTTTAAGGTTTTAATGTTTGTATCTTATCTATTAGACCTCATTACTATTCCAGTTCGGCAAACTCGTTCGTCGTCCACTATAAGGTTAATATGAACCCAGTTATAAACAAGAGCATTACGGAAAGAGGGGATTTTCGGTTGCTGCACCCAAGCTCTGGAACGCACTTTCCAGAGTTTTTTGTCTGTTTTCAAGTCTCAACTAAAAACTCATCTTTACCATATAGCTTACCATAGTACATCATTACAATGATGCGTTTTTATCCGGTTTTAATGTAATCTTATTTTACTAAAAAAATGTATTCTTATAACTATTTTTATGTAAAGCACATTTAGATTATGTTTTTATGTAATGCGCTGTACAAGAATTAAAATAACAATAACTCACTTTAAAAACCATATACAACATGTTCCTGAAGATACAAGTTTATTGCTGTTCTAAATTAGTAACACTGATTACACAAAATAAGAATTTCTACATTTGACATTGTACTTTAAATATTGTTAAATTGCAACAAAATGGTTTTAAAATACAATGTAGCAAAATATTGAACGACTAAATATGAAATATAGTCAATTAATAGCACTTAAATGTGCATGCGGGACTGTACATAAATGGTTCAATGATACATATATTGTTGTACCAATCTTAGTCATGTGTCTTCGATATGTTTATATTTCTATCACTCCTCGCTTGAACTTTTTGTTATGTATATTATGTAATTGACAGTATGCAGATTGCAATTGCTATTCTTGCATATACATATTAGTAACAACCATTGGTTCATTGATTCTCACTTTGCATTATTAGCCAATTGTGAAGACTTTGAATTATTAGAGGTGAATGATTTTTTTCTGAGCTATTGAAAAACTGGCAGAGTTAGGTTTGAAACATGACTTTGGTATCGGAAGCCAGTACCTACAAGATTGTCATATCGAGATGGGATAGCCATACACAAAGAATTTTTGAATTATACATTACCATGAACTGATATGCATGACAATGCTTTGAATTTCATATTTGCTTTATCACAAGTAGTAGTATTGTATACTATAAAGGTATGCACCTATATATTTATCCTCATGATATCTACAATATTCTGACTACAAATGCAGCTAATACACTTGAAACAACAACTATTCATGTAATTAACCATACTAATGCTTCTTCAAAGGAAAAGTTTAAGTTTTAAAATACCACAATCCATAATGCTGGCACAAAGTAACTTTAATCCATATGTAGTCATGTTTAACATTTTGTAATTTGTTGAAAAATACATGACAATATTATTACATATTTGATATATTTGTTCACAATCATTTTCAGATTTTGAATAAAAATGCTGCTAAAATATTGTTTTCTAGAGTAATAGAAAAGTAATTTCTACTACTTAGATATGGTGTTAATCTAATCACTAAATCACTTGTCAGCAGCCATCTTGGATCGTAGACGACCATACTCTCTCAACCTGAAGAGAATAGAATAAAAAATTATTATAATCTTTTCAGGTATTGTCCAGGCACATATACCCAGAGCAGGGAAAAATTAAATAATCAAAAGGCAGAAGGTAGGTTTTCAATGGCATTAGAATTTTGCAGTATTGCACTGGGTATTTTCTTTCTACCATAGTAGGAAATGCAAATTCCAAATATAGAATTATCACATGCTTAACTGTCCTCCAATAATAAAAACAAACATGACTGCCACCAAGGTTTGACCGGACTCCACACAAAGAAGTTCTCCGACTTTGGTCTAAACATTTTTAATTTTGGCATTCCCATGATGTATCCTTGGAAGAAAAAGTTGTATAATAATAAGGTTATTTCGAGGATACCTCAAAGTATGCACTCAGACAATACACTGTGACATAATAAAACCAAACATGGCTTCCCCCAGCACGAAGTTTGACCGGTCCCCACATGAAGTAGACTGTGCATGCAGACTGTATGAAGTGAATAATTATATAATAAAATATATTGTGTATTTCATTCTTACCGAAGTGCATTGACAGCAATGAAACCAGCAACATCAGTGGGGTCATAGTCACCCTGTACATCCATGCTAAAATAAATGAATAATAATAAAATATCAATTCTCTAAATATTGCACTTATTTCAGACATTATATGTCAATTCTCCTAACATGACCGCAAAATAATTTTTACAGAAAACATATAGTGATTAAATGGCAAACTCCCTTAGAAGACATCAATAGGATCACATGTGATGGACCTTAGATGCAGGTTTCCTGTTCAGAGTAAGAGCAGAGAAGGAGTAAGGAAAGGGGAGTAAACACAAGTTGCAGAGCTTTCTTACTCGGAATAAGTTTTCAGCATCCGTTTGTGTAAAAAGACAATTTTTCCTGTTCTATTATACCATGTAAATTCTCCAAACATACCTGACTAATTCCTCATTATATAAAGACAATGGTGATTCTCTTCCCAAGATATACACATGTCCTTTGAAGACTGAAACTTTTACAGTTCCTTCAACTCCTTCTTGACTTTTAGCTATACACTCTCTGGTGAACACGCATTCCGGACTGTACCAAAAACCTGTCAGGTAAGAAGATCAGTTCTGTGTTACCCTCATATAAATATAAAAAAACATCTTGTAAAAGAGAACACTTGTAATTTCCATGTGCATACTGTTAATCCATTTATTTTCATTGACATATAAATTCACTATTTTGAGCATGTTCACTGTGTTTTAATTTCATAAAAACTGTCAAGGAAACAATGAGTTTTCTTGTTATTTTACATGTAGATTTAATTTAGCGTAAATAGCAAAATTAAAACCCAGTGAATATTTAATGCATTAAGGTATTTTCTTATTTCGAAATTGCTTTTTTCACAACAAATATTCGCTATCCTCCCATACATATAAAATAAAATGTCAGGTTAGTTATATGTGAATTTTAATTTTGTTTTCAAGTGCCATGAGCTAAACTAGTCTGAATGAATTACTTCGCATTGACTGCAAAATCTTTACAAGCTGTCTTACATTATATATGCAGACCATTTACGACTGAAAACTTGTATATGTCTTCAAGAATAATGACTGAGTAGTAAATTTTAAAATAGATGAAACCCCCATAATTGTGTTTTATTCACATCTAAGAAGTTTATAGAATTCCAAATGGTATTTTACTTTGAACAAAGTTAGCATTTAATTACTTACCATTGTAAACTTGTTCAGAAAAACGCAGAGCCAACCCTTGTTTCAATCGGCGTACTTCCTGTAAGAAAAACACTTTAATGTTGAGATAGAAAATGAAAAATTGAAAAATTGTGGACTAAAAGTTATTTTAGTCAAAATATCCATATTATCCTTTTTTGCATTAATTTCTATGATGAAAGAACTTTATTAGTGGGCGTAGCTTGTCATGCATTACAGGTTTAAATTTCATGTATAAACACTGTATTTTACACATGTTGGATACATTATATGGGAACTATATTTAACACAGATCCATCATCTTGCATACACAAATTTTCATATTATTCTTGCACTTCATTACAAAGTCCCAATAACATCTTGATTAATTTTGAATTACCTTGTCCATTGTAAATGTTTCTATGTCAAGGTGAGCTTGGTGAAGTATAGTGCCACCAGGAGTCTCGTATATACCTGTAAAATACACAAACACGATAACACATCCCCTGCTGATAGACTCCACAGATAGTGGAGATGTACAAGATAACATGGCAGGCAGGTCATGTGATTAGTATATGAGAGAAGTATGTCCATTTCATAATGAGTCATATTTAAATGTTCAAGTATACAATAAAGGCAATTGTTCATATAAACAACTTCTAGTCTAATCCTTTCTAATAAGAGCAAATTCAGTAGATATTATATTGTATTCATTATAAGCAGAATGAATGTGAGAATAATGAAAATCAAGGTATTCCCTAACTCTTATTGTATATAGCACATAGCACTACCATAAGTGTAGAGCATTAAGCATGCATGAATCATACCTCTAGATTTCATTCCAATGTATCTGTTTTCCACAATATCAATACGTCCAACACCATGTTTTCCTCTGTCATATTACAAAACCAGTATATACATGTTATTGAACATTTTTACATATTTAGTACAAATGGACATTTGATTTATTTTTACTAATAATGAATAATAATCTCATTAATGAATTCTGGTTTACATGCAACAGGTACAATTTCCACATTCAACAAACACAGTTTACTGAGATGTACAAAAAGAACATTGACAGCATGACAGTGTTTACAATTTCAACCAATTAAAAATGTTTAAAACTCACCCAATGTCATTGCAATATAAATAGAGATCCAAAGGAACTTTCTTCTCTGTTCCATCTTTCACATTTGTCACTCTTATTGGCACACCTAGACAAAAATATGTACATTATGAATGTTTTTCTCATATCCTAAACTCTCAGAGTACTGTCAACGTCAAACCACAGTGACAATAAAATATATAGTTGATTGATTTATTGATTTGAATCATTCATTCACTCATTCATTCATTCATTCACAGTGACAAATCTGCTTGCCCCCCATATGCATGTAATGATTATCAATAATTACCATTTTTGAATTCAATTTCCAAGACATCAGGCTCATTTGGTGACTTCCTTGGATCCGTTGTCATCTGGTACAAATCATCAGGTCCTTCATGCTAATGAAGAAGAATTCAAAGACATGCTGATGTTTGGTTAACAACAACAAAAATTTGCTTTTTGTCTTTGTACTCATTTTTGTACTGCAATTTTGTGAAGTGCAACATGTAAAGAAGAATTAGGGGAATATTTTAGAGGATGACTGTTTCACCACCATTTCCCTCTTTTGAACACAAATTCAAAGAATAGACCTGTTTATAGTCTGCACTTTCTTTTCAGAAGTTTGAGACAAAAATAGCCAAATTTTTCAAAGTAAAAACAGAAAATTGACACAAAGTTTGTCTTTTTGCTCTAAAATTTGGGTTTATTTTCAGAAATATTGAAGAATACAAGAAAAAAGAAAAATTTTGGCGAAAAAGTCTGGTTGGGAAAAACTTAAGGCATAAATATATAACATTGAGCATTGCATTGTTGCTATTAAATAGTCTTTAATACAAAAATGTGGCCTTCACAGTATGTATGTATACCCTACCATATACATCATAGTAGGACTCTAAAACCACTTTGATATGAGTAACATAGTACACAACACCACCTTGAAAAGTCACTTTCCAATAACCATACATACCTTGGGGTTCTCAAGAACACCGCCTTCAAAACTGAAAAATTAATAAAAAAAAATTAGGAAATATTTGATTAGGTTTGTAACTTGTTTTGACAACTGGAATTGGGATGAAACTAAATCTTTTCTCAACAATAAATGTGTATTTTTACATGTCTATTAACAAACGTGTCTGATTACTGTGACCCATCGCATAATATCAACCAAAATAACCAAATTTTTTTGTATTAGTGATATATGACCAACAAAATGGATTTGTAAATACATGAGTAAAGACAAAACCAATAACATTTCAAGTGTTGCATCAAACATTGATTGAGCATATGTCAAAGAGCCAATAAATCAAGAACCATTAGGATACAAGCATTATAATCTTAAAACTCAGATATCCTAGACTCATACTGAACAATAACTCACATTCTTTCAATCGAGTTTTTCTAACAAAGCATCAGTATATGACCTTTGACCTACCTAATATGCATAAGATTGGCATCCATACTCCATGGACTTTTAGGAGTGACTGGAAGTGGGATGTTGTTTGCCTTGGCATATTCAAACAGATCTGGGCGACCTTTGAATCGCTGAAAAAATGCTGGAATGCGCCATGGAGCAATAATCTGCAGACAAACAAATACAAGGCAATAGTGAATCAAAATTACTTGTATACTTACGATATTGATGGAAAAGCTGAAAACTAATTATTCAAATCAGAAAATTAAAATGAACAGAGTATAAAACTAATAAGGTCTGTGTAATGTAACAGACCATCTATGTACCACATTTCATAGAAATGTGATCAGAAGCAAACAATTATGAATTATTATGCTAATTAGGGAATTTATATGAACAGATTTTAACCCAAAACTGAACATAATTGTACATTGTCCTAGAGCATCTATGTACAAAGTTTCATTTGAAGGTGATGATTAGTACTCGAGATATCAGTGAAAAAGCTGAAAATTAAATAATTATGCAAATAAGTTAATTGATATGCACATTTATTTACCCCAAAACTAATCAGATCTCTGCATAGTCCTAGAGGATCTATGTACCAAGTTTCATTGAAATGTTATGATTAGTACTTGAGATATACATGAAAATCCGAAAAATTAACTAATTATGCAAATTAGGTGATTAATATGCACAAATATTTATCCAAAAACAATCGATCTCTCCATAGTCCATGAGTATCTATGTAACACGTTTCATTGAAATGTAATGCTCACTACTTGAAATATCAAAAGCTGAAAATTAATTTATTATGCAAATTAGGTAATTAATATGTACTGATTTTCACCCAAAACTAATCAAAACCTGGCATTAGTTCAGAGCATCTATGAACCAAGTTTCATCAAAATCCAATGAATGGTTCTTTAGATATCAGTGGAACAGTCATGAAACAGCTAAAAATTAGCTAAATATCATGCAAATTAGGTAATTAATATGCATGGATTTCTACCAAAACCTAATCAAATCTGCACATTAGCCCAGAGCATCTATGCACCAAGTTTCATCAAAAAACGATGTATGGTTCTTGAAATATCAGTGGAACAGACGGACACACACACACACATACACATACAGACAGGGTAACTGCAAAGACTCCCATTGTGTGCTTCGCACACGAGAGTAAAAAATGTTGTTATCACTGAAGTGTCTACATCCCAAATTAACTTGAGCAGGACTGGACTGAAAAGTATTTTGATAAAAGACAAAGAATAGTATTGTTTTACCGGTAATTGTCTAATAATGTACTTTGCCTGAATTTATGTGACAGAACATCATACAGTGAAAGTATATTAAAAATGTGTTGGTGCGGAAAATACCATACACAATGACACTAATCCTAATATGTTTATAACATAGTTATAAGTAAAAACTAAGCTTAACAAAAATATTCTAAATTTATCACAATTCACAAGCAGCTACATATTTTAAATTTCACTGATAACATTAGATGGTGATATGAAGGTGGATTCCATAAATAAAACATATTGTAAGACAATACAATACCTTGACTTTTGGATACAGTGCATAGGCCGTCAACTCAAATCGGATTTGATCATTGCCCTGTAAGAAAACATACAACACTTGCCATGAAACAATCATAGACAACTTTAGAGAACACTGCCACTAGAGGGCGCTATAAACAAAAAAACAGATTAAAAATAAAATCAACTGACTGACCTTTCCTGTTGCACCATGGGATAGATACTCAGCACCTTCTTGCTTTGCGATTCGTACTTGCTCTCTTGCGATTACAGGCCTAGCGAACGATGTACCAAGTTGATAGCGGTCTTCATACAAGGCATTGGCTTGGATACCAGGGTAGATGAACTCCTCAACAAATTCTTTCCTGATATCAACAATAAATACCTACAGAAACAAGAAACATGCACTTATTACCAAACTTATTATCAAATTGCCTTAATAAGAACATTATTAATATATGCCAATTAATTAGCTTTGTTCCTGCTTGTTCCTACTTTTGCTAGAATAAAATTTTGATGCAAGGCATTTTGGTGGTTTTGTACATTTTTTTTACTG